AATTGGAAAATTCGAAAAGAACATTAGGTAGGTAATTATTTCATATTTTTGTGGTTATGTAATTCAATACACAATATTAATCAATTCTAAGCTTTTGCACATAATATATTACATAGTTTAAATGGTAATATCGTCCACGTTGATTCAAAAGGTTTTTGTTAGCAGTCTTAGAACTTGATACAAATCCGTTCAATTGGTAATCAACATTTTGGGGACAAATTAAATGTTTTAAAACTGATATTATTATTTGGGAATTAACTTTTTGGGGCCAAATTAGAGTTATGAGAATGTATTAAATGATATTATAATTTGGTAATTGGTTGTTTAAAATAGTTTCTTAATCTTACAAGTTAATTTAAAAAATTCTCAATTGAGGAGTTTTTTGAAATAAAAGATTTCAATATTATTTATATTTACATATTAAATAATTAGCTACAAAAATCTAAAAAAATGGCAAGACAAAACACTCCTCAAATGAAGACTACTACCCTATAAAGGAAAATTAACAAATAAATAAACAACAAAATAAAAAAAAGGAATATAATATTTGCATCACTTGACTCGAGTTATTGATTGAAAAAAAATAAAATTGAAAAAAAGACTCGAGTTATTGAACAACAAAAAAGGGCTTCGAAGTTTTACCATTATATTTGCATCACTTGAATATTGCTCACGACATGTATTTTCTTGTCTGCTCATTTGCATGACAAACACAAGCTAGGTGGCTATGATCTAAATTATAATTCATCACTAAGTCATGAATATAATATTTGCATTCCGTCATAAGTGAAAATTAGTCGTGTTTTAGTAGATAATGTGAAACAAAAATCAACTTAACAAAGGACAATAGGTATATAAAAGATCAACCCTGTCATTTTCAGTCAAGATTTTAATTTCATTGAATCTGCATATATCATACAAAATTTGACCATGAAAAAAATCTCATAATTTCAAGACATAAGCAGAATCATTATCTTTTTTACCCCAAATTTCAACAGCCTTCCCATTTTTCCACTCTCAATTTCAAACATATACAGAAACAAGATTATCACTGATACAGTGCAAGTGGGTTTTAACTTCTAAATCAAAATCTGTTATAAATATTTGGTTTTGTTTGAATTCATGAACAAAAATTTTGTCACACGCCCCTTTGGCCGCTGCAGTTGTTCGACAGTTCGAGTTTCCCATCTCAGCATATTCTACTCAAAAGTGCTGGTCGAAGGTAACCCTCCAATACAATCAAAAAACAGCGGATAATCCCCCACAAAAGAAAAGAAAAAAAAAAGGAAACCGCAAGATTCCTCTCTCTGCCAATTTTTGAAATTTTTGGGGCATCTAAATTTGGGTGTTTTATTGAACTGGGCCGACAGATTTCTTGATGATACTCATCCAGGTTGAGAAAAAGTGAAGTCTTTACAGATTTTCCCGACAAGGGTTAGTTTGTTACACATGCTATGTTTGGTGCCCAGAAGTTAAAAAGTTATCCTTGATAAGTCTCATGGTGATATTTCGAGGTTTTCGAAGCTGAGTTTATAAATGTCTGGCGAGTTTACTTCTGGGATTTGTAAAAGGGCTTGTTGCTCTTAGGTTGCTATCCTTTCTATGAGTCAGGAGAATACACTGATTATGAAGTTTCTTGGCTTAATGTGATGGATTTGTATTCTGATGATTGGCTGTGTCACTTGTGTTTGGGATAGATTGGAAAGGAAATGAAGTAATTAGTGAGCTTTTAGTGGTTATGAGTGAAAAAGGTTGCTTTTTGTAGTCACAACACAATGCAATTGTATGTTGTTAATCCTGGTGTTTAGGATAAGGATTTTGGGGCTACATTTGTTTTGCATATGTATTCTTATAGCAGAAGGATTTAACATGGAAAATGGAAATGGTCCTTCTTCTTGCTTGAGCTTCGCCTCCTCTTCGTACTTATCAAATGGTTCGAGTAACAATAACATTCACTCCACCACCGGCCCCGAATTAGGGACGAGCCTCGAGCTACTGAGCTTGAGTAAGCTAAGCTCGTGTCTCGAAAATCTCGTGGTCAACTCCGAGTATGACTATAGTGATGCCGAAATTGTGGTCGAGGGGGTCAGTGTAGGGGTCAACCGCTGCATATTGGCCGCAAGGAGTGATTTTTTTCATGAATTATTTAAAAAACCTAACAATGGCAAGGTGAAGGAGGGTAAAAAACCGAAATTTGTCTTGAAAGATTTGCTCCCACATGGGAAAATAGGTTATGAGGCGTTTATGGTGATTTTGAGCTATATGTACACCGGGAAGCTCCGGCCATCCCCTCCCGAGGTGTCAACTTGCGTAGACGAGTCGTGCGCGCACGATGCTTGTGGGCCCGCCATCAACTATGCGGTCGAGATGATGTATGCTTCGGTCACGTTTCGGATCAAAGAACTAATCATGGTTGTTCAGGTCAGTTTTTTTTCTGTACCCAGTTGTGGCTTGCTTGCTGTGAAGGTT